TTTTTGGGGGGGAAAAAGTCAATCTTATTCAAATAGTCTTTTTTTTTTTTCCAAAAATAAAAGTGCTGTATTTTACGGTGTCTTATGAGAATTGCCTTAAAAAAGCCTTCATCATATGAGTGACAATGTCATTTTTCAAAAGGATGTATTTTTAAATTGTGTGCAAATTAGGTTGCACTTTTTTCAGAGCAAAAGTCATGATCGTTTGACAGTTTAAGTCAGAGAAGAATAGTCCCACTTTTGAGAAGAGAAAAGTTGTCATCTCATTTTTCAAAGAACACATTTATTTGGGAAGACAAAAAATGACGTCATGACATATGAAAAGAAAGTCTGATTTATTTTGAGGAAAAGTTGTAATCGTATTTGAATAGAGTTGTGTTATTTAACCCTTTCATGCACCAATAATGATAACTTGTAACCTGATAAGATGTCCACTGTCGTAACCGCTGTCCCTGAAAGGGTTAAGGAATCAAAGTCTTTTGACAATAAACTGGACTTGAGCAGAGTCCTTCCGTCAAAGTTAGGGTTAGGGTTAGGGTTAAACTTGGATCGGTACCAAACGTCCAGGCACCCGTTTTGACTTCTGAAAACATTCAAATAGGACTTTGGCAACTATGCCGTTGGACGAAGAATATACATCAATTTTGTTGTTTGTCACGGTGACTCGTTTTTCACTTTAGATGACTTCACAATTGCACGTCATGTTGTCGTCATTCATGTTTTACAATTTATATTATTTACAATATTTTATTCGCCGTATTTTCTTAAGCCTGACTTTACATTGTCGCTTTACGTGAGCCCGATTCCTTTCAATCAGCAAACAAATGTTGATTTTAAATGTGTGCTAAATATAACTTAGCATGCATACACGTGAATAGAAATCTTGGCTCTCATTTCATTGAAGAACCGAACTGCGGAATACGCAACCAAAACTGTTTATTAAAACGTCACTATTTGTCACTTGGTTTTTGTTTTGATTCGGGAAAATATCACTTTGAAAAGCATTCATTTGTGTGAATTGAGCAAAACTCCTCAGCTCATTTAACAAACAAACAAAAAAAGAACATTATCTATGTATTGTTATTAAATTTTAAACAAGCAACAATGAAAACACATTCCTCAGATGATGTGATAAACGTTTTTGCTGCAGGGCGAATCCGACACTTTCATATTTGCTCCAACAAAATGCCAGTGTTGTCATAAAACAGAAGGAAAGAACAGAAGGAAAGCACCATAAATTAGTGGCAAACGTACCGACATTCAACAGACAATCAGATGACCATCTCATGCTACTCGGAACCATGACGCTAGCACTAAGTGCTAATACATGAGGTCACCAACGCTGAAGTAGGTCACATGAGTTTGTCATTGTAACAGCAGAGAAGCCGCCATCCCCTCTTGAGAGCTGTTGTGGGATGAAAATGATCCAAAAGATGCTGTTTTACTTTAATTCATGATTAGTTTTATCAAAATTTCTTAACATGTTCAATTGTAAGACACAACGTCCACAGTCTACAGTGGATTTGAATTCCAACAGTGGCTCCATCACCTGAATTGGTGTGTAAGTCGGAACGCACCGTAGTCTGTCGCTAACCTAGACTAACACTTTAGTCAAGGAATAATGATCGTAAATATTTGTGTGAGAACCACGTGGAGGTCAAAAATATCAAATAATCGATTGGCGGAAAGTCATCAGGCCTTCTTGTGCCGCATGACCATGCACCATTCTTATGCCGCCGAGCAAACGAGTTAATCGCGCACCTTTCATGATCACGAATTGTCGAGACCGCCGTGAAGCGAGAACTCCCTGTTTGCTGAAGGCTGTTCAGCGCACGTAAATCCAAATTTTACCTCTCACTAAACCATTCTTTTTCTGCAATTCTTATTGACATTATAAGTTTTAAAGTGATGCCATGCGTGGACGCGAGGATTCCACCTGACAGCGAGGATAAATGTACTAACGCAGATCAGTCGTAGTCCTTTCTGACTTCTGTATAAATCCCATGTTGCCGTCGTATAACGGCAAAACCGTCGTAAACTGAAGACAATGTGAATATTAACTCCAGCGGGTCTTCAATCTCTGACTGCCTGGTGTACAATATTTCAAGGTTACTAATAGAATACATCAGGGGTGCCCATTATGTCGATCGCGATCTACCGGTAGATCGCTGACTGGTCCCAAGTCAATCGCGAGGAGTGTAGAAAAAAAACTAATAACCATTTTTGTGTCTTTGTGCATGTTAGTAATATATATTTTTTGTGTTAATGTACACTGCACCCTAATCATTCTATCAGTCTCATTTTCACAAAAAGAATTTAAAAAAATAAAATAAAATAAAGCAGGTAAATCTTTAACCTAAGGTGGCGCGTGATCTGCGTCATCGGAATTTGTTAGTGCCCAGCAGTCTGCAATTGCAGCTTGTGATCAGAGCGGTTGCGCGATATCTTTTATCGTTATCATTATTCTCATTCAGAGTTTGTTTCGTGTACAATTCACCGAGGGCACGGGCAAAGAAAAGGAATCTAGAGGACCAAGGGAAGCACTTTAAAACGGTACGTGTGAGCTACGATCGTTAACAGGCTGCAAAAGTCCCTCGCATGAGTCCGTATCAGGCTGTTGCTCATCATGGCGTGCGTGTGTATGTGCGTGCGCTGTAACGGGTCGATCGCGGGAGGTTAGTTGATCGAAAAGTCGATCTTCAGTCCAAAAAGTTTGGCCACCCCTGGAATACATGGTAGGAAAGAAGGCGCAATTAGTTGTCCCCTACTTACCATTATTGACTTCATTTTTTTCATATTCACGGCCTGCAAGTGTTTTCCATACAGATATTTACTATAAATATGACTTAACCACTGTGTTAGGATAGGTTAGTGATCAACTACAGCAGGTTCCGATTTACGTACAAATTTGAGTTACAGTGCCACCGCGGCCAACCGAGATTTTGTTTTGGATATCGACATTTATTAAGATGTTCCCCAAAGCCATGTCAATGTCATGTTTGATGTTTAAATTGACATCTGGCTGCGCTATCTCCATAACGAATGGATATCGTCGTGACTCATGTACAAAATTTGTGATGGTTTGGATACAAAATAGTTGAAAAGTCATCATTTCAGACCGCATCGCCGGCGCCAAAACACAAAAAGCATGCTTATTTCCCCAGGTTGCTTGATATTGCTCGGCAGTGACAGCTTTACTGGAGGGCGGACACAGACGCACAATTGATAGGCGCCTCGGAAAAAGTCAAAACCTTGCCTCAGATCAATTTTTCTCTCCTCTTCTGGTTTGGAAAGGCTCCCGCACATCGCCGTCCCGAGAGTCGCGAGCTGCCAGATTCGTTTGGTTTTATCAAGGATCTTTAACACTCGTCCCGCGGCCAAGCGCATTCCTAACGCTACACGCATTTGCACGCTGGCGTCACGGCAACGTCACCTAAAATTGACAGCGAAGGCGATTACTGACCACGGGGAATACATATAAAACAGGACCTGGTGATACTTTGAAGACATCCTATAAAGTGTAACAGCCCAGAGTTGTTTCATGTCAGTTTCTTGCTTAGTGTGTCCATTTTTTTTTTTTTGTCCGATGACAGCTTCAACGTGTCTGTGATGTTGTTGATCTGCGAAATTTACTGCGGTCGGGCGACAAACTGTTACGTGAGGGTCAAAGGTGGCTGCCTAAGTGTGTCTGTGCTTGTGTATGTGTGTGTGTCAATGCTCACACTCAGGCGACACTCTCAATGATATGAGGGGACACTTAAATAAACTACAGCGAAGAAGTAAACAGCCGGCAGTTACGTGTCGCAACTGGGTACAAACAATCACCTTCAATTCTCATTTAGTCAGAATTAAAGCGCATCGCCGCAGATCCTGCAACTTAAATTTACATTCAAAGTCTTAATGATTTTAGTTGCTTTTGGGGCATGAATGGAAGTCATCGAAGAAGCAAATAGAACAAGAGATACTAAGTCTGTAAGTGCCATTTCTGTTGCATGAATACCTCCAGGGCTGTATGTTATGTTAATTTATGGACCCTGATCACAGACACTGGAACTAAGTGTCCATCAACTGCTTGATGGTGAAAATATGAAAACAGTTTAACAGCAAGCCACATTAAATGAGGGCCCCCACCCCCCCTGACCACTTATTTTATAATGCAATTCGAAACGCTATTCATATTTTTGTTTCAATGTGCGTGACCCCCATAATGGATTTAACCATCAAAAGTATGACGTGCAAACAGCCTCCACATGACTCCTATAATATAAATCGTGTGTGTGTGTGTGTGTGTGTGTGTGTGTGTGTGTGTGTGTGTGTGTGCGTGCGTGTGCGTGTGCGTGTGTGCGCGCGAGTACGCGCGTGAGCTTGTGCGTGTGTCCTTTATCTAGTTAACTTTTTAGTCACACTTTAAATCATGCTAAAGTCATGTCTAAGATGCTGTGTTTTATAAATATAAATATAGGTATATCTATAGATATATAGATATATCTATATATCTATGTGTATATGTGTATATATATATATAT